TAATAATATTGTGGTTTTGAATAATAATGATGATGATGGGTACTGTAGTTGAATTTTTTTTGTTTTTTAATAATCTTTTTAGCTTATTGTTAAGGCTTCAAGTTTGTTGTTGAAGTGTTTTTTTTTTCTTATCTATATAGCTTGAGTGACCTAATGTGGGAAAAACTACATAAATAGGTTTTGCTTTCACACTCTTAAGCAAGTGTATGGGAGGCTTTGTTGAGTTTGGTAGTAGGCAAAGGTGTGTGAAGCTTCACACTTGCTTCGACCTTTCATAAACATGTGAAGCTTCCCCCTTCATGGTTGTTTAAAGCTCCACCCTCATAACATGTGAGGCTCCCCTCTTCATTAGTGTGTGAAGCTTCACCCACCCTTCGTAAACATGTGAAGCATCCCCTCTTCATGGGTGTGTGAAGCTCCACCCTTGACATGTGAAGCTTCCCCATTCATTGGGTGTGTGAAACTTTGCACTTACATAGTTTGATTTTTTTTTTTTTTTTTGAAAGGTACACAGTTTGATTTTATACCAAGGTAGTAGAAGCTAATCATGAGACCCATAAATTGATTTTTCTTCCACTCTTGAGCAAGAGTCTTCAAGGCTCACCATATGTTGCAGTAGTTGAAGGTTCTGACAAACCATATAATGGGATTTTGCGGTTTATTCTCGGGTTTTGCTTCCATATAATGTGATTTTGCTTCAGATGTTGATGGAAATAATCTTGTAAAGTTTTGGCCTTTGTATACCTTGTGTAGCTTTCTAGGTTAGTAAAGCTTCAAACTTGTCGATGAGACTTGTATACAATATTAGGTTGAAGCATTGCATATGCACTAAAGCCCTTGTTGGCTTTGTAATAATACGTTGTTCTTGACTATAACCCTTGTTAGGCTTAAGTTTCCCCTACTTAGGTTGAGTTTGGCTTGTTTATGCCCTTTTTGAGTTGTAAGACTTGAGGGTTTTTTATTATTTGTGAATGCTAAGAGTTCACAACTACGATTTGTATAGTTCCTCACCTAGTTGGTGGGATGGATGGCGAGTTTCCATGGCAAAAATGTTTATTGAAGTACTAGTTGTACCCTTCATCACCCTATTGGTGATATGAAGATGAGTTCTTTCATCACCTGGTTAGTGTTAAGAGTGACGAGTTGCCAAAACTCAAAATTGTTTATTCGAGTACTGGTTGTACGCTTCATCACTTGGTTGGTAATACGAAAGGTGAGTTCCTTCATCACCTGGTTGGTGGTAAGAGTGGCAAGTTGTCGAAGCTCATTGTAGCACATGTTTGTGTTATGCTAAACCCCTGAGTAAGAATATAGAGTTACATCAGAGTTAGACCAAGTGTTTCAACATTGGAAATTAAAAAGTTGGACGAAGTTGTCTGAATTGCCTTTTCATTACGTATTTGCCGAATGGCTTGTGTTACAAAAGATCTTGAACAGTTGAAAGTCAAGACATTTGTATGTGTGTTCTCACTTATAATAGCCATTTCTTCAGTACCCAGTTCCCCCACTTTGAAAGGCAAGGTTTGAGCTTAGAGCCATAATAGTTGAGGTATGTTCACCCCTAGTTGTCTTGATATGAAGCTTTATCCCTCTTGTTTTAATGAGCTTGCCAAGAGTGAAAATTCTTCCTCTTGCCAAAGGACGAATAAGTTTGTGATTTAGCAGGTTGCTAAGTGGGGCAGGAGGGGATGCAATGGGTGCCTATATGGTCAAAACCTTTTCACTTGGTAGAATTTGACTTCCGCTCTCCACTTCTTGATACAGGTTAGTCATAGGGGGATTCCCTTGGTATGTCCTTGCTTTGGCAAAGGCAAGATTGTAAACTTATGTCATCATCTCGGAGTAAGTCTTCCAAGTGTTAACATTGATCATGTACTTGAAGAAGCATTCACGCATGCCTATTATGAAGGCCCTGAGTGCTCTTTTGTCATTTGCCTCAACGCAACCAGAGTATATGTGGACTCGTCTAACTTCTGACTAATGGTGTATAAATCATTAGTGGAGTGTAAACGATCAGCTTGGAAGATATGTTAAGCCATGAAGAGTCTCCATAACTCAGCAAAGGAATCCATCGTATCAAGTTGAAGAAGACAATACCAATTGATAGCTCCGCCAGAGAAAGTGGAGGGGAAAATGAAACATCATTCTTCGTCACTTAGTCTTTAATATGCCATGGTTGATTCAAAGAGGTAGATGTCCTCATTTGGATTTCCCTCTAAGTTTACAATTGCAAGCTAGCTTCTATTTTGTTTTGCCTTTTAGAAAGGGGACAAAGATCCTCCTTGTCAGATAGTCGAGCCTTGGCTAATTCCAATCAAGTAGCTTAGCCTAACACTTGGCTTTTAACTTGTTTACTTCTTCAAAGAACTGCATGATAAGGGGGTCCTGAGTCAACAAGTTCGTGGACTAGTAGTAGCTTCACTTTACAACTTCTTATATGCAGAAAAGAGGTTGTCCAAGAATAGGTTGTTCTATTATCGGTTGTTCGATCCTTTGTACTCTCTCCTATATAGTCAGTCAGTGGGGAATCGTGGACAATGCCAACAAATAAAGGGCTAAGGGCGAAAGCCCGATCCAGCAATATCGCGTGAATAAGAGGCAATTTAATTGAGAGTTGCTCTTCCCCTCCTCAGTACTGGCAATTTATTCTTTGTACGAACTGGTCATCCTTTAATTTGCCTTATCCTCGGAGGGAACAAATGTTTGGTCTTAAGCATCCAAGTCAGTGTCATAAAAGAGTGGACATATAAGCAAGTAAACCCGGCCTAGGACTAAACTACCGATACAGAATAGGGGGCTTCAAGCAGCCGTACTTATATATAGATATAATATATGGAGAGATCACCCTTATTGTGATCAGTTCCCGAAGTGAGTCAATGAGCAGGAATTCCTTTTAGTGGATCCCTTCCCAAAGTCAGTACAATGCCCCTCTTATCCCTCTCCTGTCTGTGAAGAATCAAAACCTTCCCTGGAGACTGGTCCCATCTAAGGCATCTTACTTATAGTAAGTAGAAGGGGACATCTTTTTGCACAATAGATTATATTACCAAATCCGTTGGTTTACCCTACTTGGGATAAAAACCTGCGCACTATCTGCTATATAGGCATTCATTGGTGGATCTCCTCTGAAGTCAGGCACAATTGGATTCCTCTTTCATAAGTTTCCATCATCTCTTGAAAGTAAGGAAGCTCAATTAAAGGCATGTGACCTTTCCTTGAATTGAACATATTGGCTGCCAAGATATTCCTATTAAAAGTCCCATGATTCTCTTGTGCCCTCTTTTCCCTCCAAGGCTTGTTGTTTCTTCCTTACATTGGTAGCTAGCCTAGGTTGTGGTAGGGAACCAAGTCCTTCGATTACCCCTGGTTCATTGATTTTTAAGCCTATGTGGATGGGTTTTTCTCGGCAATGCCTCAAGCAGTCTCGACATTCACAATAAACAATTCTTGATCCTTCTATTCCTTATGCAAGGAGATGTCTTCCTCCACTTCTCTTACTTTGATTTGAAGCAACTGGGTTGAGAGAAGTCTCGTGTTGATCAACATCTTGGTGAGAAGGCTGTTCCTCATTGAGAACACCCATATTCAGGACAAGTGAACCTTCGTGTTGGTGGTACCTATGTGGTAATCCACAGTCATAGGGGTGATAGGCTCATGAGCCTGAGTATATCTAGCCTTGTGAAGCATCACAAAAAGCTTCACAATGTTCTTAGAGGATCTCATTCCCTATCACTAATTTGTTGTTTTGAGCTTTTATCTCTTTGACTTTAGCTTGAAGGGCAACTTTCTTTCTTTCCCTTGCCTCACGCTAGGCATGTTATGGATTCTCTCACTCCCCATGTTGGAAAGGGATGCTTGATCCAAGCAGAGTGTACAAAAGATGGAATCAACTTGACGAAGATGGCGAGAGTATGAATCAATGTCGTTCCCATAGACAGCACTAAATGTTGATTCACAAAATCGGATTAAATTTGAAACAACGTAAAATGTCAAGGTGTGACCTGCATGTCATTGCTTAGGTTACCAAGTGTAGGTAATATTTAAAGAGATAGAGAGAGAGAATCAAACACAAGATATAAGTGGTTCACCCTAAGTTGAGCTATGTACACGAGGGTAGAGGATTTCTCATTAATAGTGAAGAGTTTACACAATATATATGTTTAATCAGAATCATCATTAGGGATTAATTGTAGGAGAATGGCCACCTTTTATTGTTGAGGGGACTTTAGGAGCTTTATTTGTTGACACGTGTCGCGTTTTGATTGGCCTCTTGATTGTAGAGAAACTCCTGTGCTTCGAAGTGGTACCTCAACATGAATCCTTCAATGGGTCCTTGAAGGTATGAAGTTGACTAGTGCTCAATAGTTTCGGGGTTGGTGAAGTATGGTACAAACAAGCACCTTTACATCTCATCCTAGGTCTTTGCCGCTGACTGTAGGCCACCACGTGGCTTGATTGACATCTGGGTAGGCATGTTTCTGGAGACTTTTATCTTAAAGCTGTCAGCCTATCCATGTGCTCTTGGCAGTCAGAAAGCCCTTTACATATCCTAGTCGGGCTGAGCTTATAGGCGGTCGGCTTTAATGCTCGGGAGTATCCTCTTCTAACCCCCTTGGGCTTGGCTTCTTTCCCAGCTTGCATCATTATGTGGGCCTAAAAGTGCCCAAAATTGACAACCTTTCTAATTTTACCTTCTTGAATTAAGTTTGAATTCTCTTCATAAAAACTCATAATATCAAAAATTCAAAAACAACTGACAAAAAATTAAAAACTCAAAAACGACATTTACAACATAAATAAGTATGTGAGGCAGTAAATATAAGAATGATTTTTACTCACCTTTTTTTTTATTCTGCGCATTTTTTATTTAATCGTAATTTGGGCTGGAACAATGATTAAAATTATGTGGAGAAGAATAATAGTATGCGAAAATTACTTTCCCCTCCAAATATAATTAGCCTGTGATTATTTCATCAACCAAGTTACCAATTATTCCCAAAAATTTAAAAGGAAACCGCCTTAATCAGAAAGCCAAATTAATAAAAATTTGATTAATTACAGCACCCAAATCCAAACGTAATCCTCTCCTCTTCTCTCCTGATACAAAACCTAAAACCCTCTATTCTTATTTTCCCCCTCTCTCTCTCTCTCTCTCCTGCAACATTTCCTCATTGTTTCTATCGCTTCTCTTGTCATAGATCTCTATCTTTCTTTGAAATATGGACAAGCATCAGGGCGGCCAAGATCAAATCGTCTCCACTGGTATCCCTTGTTTCTCTAGTTTTTGTTTTTGTTTTTGGGCAGAAATGTTTGATGTTTTTGTGTCTACTTTGTGTTTGTTTGTTTATTGCTATTCAATAAGAATATGTGAGTCGGTGTTATTTTTTTTTTTTTGTAGATTTTGGTAATTCCCAGATTGTGAATTGTTTGATTTACTGGCAATTATTTGTTGGTCCGCTGCCGAGTAAAGCTTTAAGCATTCAAGGTGCGGAATGCATTATGTTTCTGGTCGCACTCATGTCGAAAACATTATGCTGTTCCTTGTGTTTCAGTTGAATTCTTGGTCCCCAAATCCTAAGATAGGGTTTTTTGCTTCTTGATGATGTTTTTGTGTCAACTGGGTATTGTAAAGCCCATTGGTATCCATTATTTGGTTTTGTAAAACTCACTTACGAATACACACTGCTCATAAAGTTTTTACTTGGTTCAGTTCAATAATGCAGCATGTCCATGAGTTATAATTTTTAAGTATGATGCAAGCAACTGTTTGAAGTAGTAAGATGGGCCCTCTTCATTGTCCACAGTTGGTGTATTATTGCAGGATCGTCTAGGTTAGAGTTCGCAGAATCACTTGATTAAAACACATGTGTGATCATGTTCAGATTTGCAGCTCCTTCCTCTTTTCGAATTGATCGATATTGCTGAGTTGCGAATGTTGCTTGACCTTGTATTCTTTTAAGCTAGATTGACGATTGACTAAAGCTACCTTAGAAAGGAGAGAGGCAGCCACTCAGCATTGATGAGTGAAGGTGCAAGAGAGAGGAAAGGGTTATTGTTGGACATGTGAAGCTACCTAAAGAGAAGAGGGTAGGGGCAACCAATGTGTGAAAGAGGATCGGAATCTTTGGAAGTGTGTAGGAACGTTAAAATCCAAATGTCACATTGTGAAAGTAGAACACCTTTGCTAGCTGGTATCTGAACTCTCTAGCACCCTTTCCTTTCAAGCCTTTTCTGCATGGGCAAGTTCTGCCAATGGGTTCGAATAGTCTGCAATGAACGTGATTTTTCTCCTATCCTTTGTGAGGGTTGGGGGTTGGATGTGTGCAGGGGAAGACCTTGTTTCTATTTATAATATTTATCTCTGTTGCATACACCTTCTGTTTCCAGCTTTTTGGAATGTCTGTGCTTCTATTGTTCTTCTGAGATACTGAACATCTGCAATTCTGGGTGCAGGAGGGAGACCTGTAAAGTCAGATATCTTGAAAGAGCAGGTAATTGGTTGTGTACTCACTAAGAATGTTGTTTCTGTTCATTTAGTCCTTTGTATACAAAGGCTTTGGTAGCTGTATTTTATTAATTTTGTAATTTATATTCAGCCACTGTTGCCCAAAGATGAAAGACTAGTTTCGGTGAATCATTCTCCAGCTGCAGTCATCATAGGGCCTTCAGGTGATGCTACAGAACAGCCCAAGTCTTCAGATGTTAGTGGAGAACGAAGCACCCCCCATCCGCTTAATTTGTATTCATCTCATGAAGGGGACATTTATGGTGGTGAGTTTGTTCACCCTTGTCTGCTGTCTCTGGTATAGGAGGATCAGGATGGTCTAAATAGTAGTGGTTTGAAGTTAGCTATAGTCTGATTCCCATAAACGCTCAAGTGTTGTGACATTGCCCTCACACATTAAGCCATTTTAAATTTCTAAACTTTTGGTTTCTTTCTCCGGTAGTTCGTGAGTGGTCTGATATTAGCTATAGTTTGATTCCTGTGAACTCTTAAGCATTGTTTCTTTATCCGGGATTTCATGAACTATGTGTTAAATGTCATGGTTCTATTTGGTGTTGACCCATAATAAAGAAAAGCTTTTGGTAATAATGACAATGTTCTGCTACTCTTCTCATAATTTATAATTAAAATTGTAAGAGATCAGATTTTAAAATTCCATCTGGTTTCAGGTTATGGCAGTAACACTGGTGCTTGGGATGGATATTCTCCATATAATACTGATGGAATGCATGTTTTATCACCAGTGAGTATAATATTCGCTTGCGCAATTCTTCTGAATCTCTGATTTCCTTTTGAGCCAAACTTACCTTTGGTTCTTTTTTTGTTGTTGTTTTTAGGTCATCTACAATGATAGTCCTTCTCTTCTGTTTCACTCTGGTTATGGCTTCAATCACGAAATTGCATATGGACAGTATTCACCAGTCGCTGGTCCTTTGCCTTCTGTAATGGTAGATGGCCAACTTTATTCTACACAACAGGTCCCTTTCTCTCCATCTTATTACCCCCAGCCATCTGAGTTGATGAGACCAGAAAGTAGTAGCACTGACAACATAGGTTATGGGCCAGGACCAGGTTACATGGTAAATTATAGATCATTTAGCGGAGATCTGTCTGGACATCTTGGTTCTAGTCCTTTAGCATCTCCAACAATTTATCCTCCACCAATGGGCATTCTTGGGTCATACGAACACAATGCGGGGCAGGTTTGTTTTCTTTTAACTTCACTAGTTTAATTCCTTGATAAAGAGATGTTCCTAGACTGGAAGAATTGTTACAGTGTTGCTAGTACTTTTGTTAGAACTCTAAATACGGATACGACTTCAGTCATATTTATATGTCCAGTATTGGAGGCATGTTTTTGTGTTCTGGTCAGCATTGTAGTTATAATTCCCCAATGTGCTTGGTGATCAGAATACAACTTTTGTGTTTATAAGAGGCATATAGTACCATTGCACCCACATTGGTGGTACACAATTCATATGTTCTTGGTGCAATTCAAGATTTTGGAGATAATTGTTGAGAATATCACATTTAAGAATGGGAAAAATGGAACAAACTCCGGAAATTGAAAACAAATAACCAAGATAAATAACACTAGGAATTTACGTGGTTCGGCAATATGTGCCTACGTCCACAGGACAGCAACAACAATCTTTCACTATATCAATAATGAGTACAACCAATAATCTTGCCCAATCTCTAGAACTAGGAATTGATGAAAAACCTGAAAGAACAAGAAGAAGAAATACACTATCTCTTTTCTTTTCTCCCGCACACACTTCACAATATTCTCTCACTCTAATCCCTTGAGTGGTATACAGTTTATTGTTTTGCTCCCTTCTCAAAACTAGTACAATGGTCCCTTTATATAGACATAATAAAGGTCTTCTTCAATAAGGATTACTAATCCTAATTGGAATCTAGTTATGAATCCTTCTCCAATTGAGCAACTAACTCCAATTGGGAAAACAACTCCAATTGGGAAAACAATTTAATCCTCTAAGACTAGTTTCTTATAGACGTAGGACAACTTATCATGGGCTGGAAAAAACCCAACAATAATGGCATTAATTGTATTACATTCTGTTAGTCTTGTTTTTTCCCCTTTTCTTTTGGGGGGGAATTTTGGTAGTTTTTTGTCATCCTTAGACATCATGTGGACTCTTTTCTTCCTAGAAATGTGGTGGAGGTTGAAACACATGTCGTGGTAAGAAAAAAGATTTATGGGTCAAAGGGTCATTGCAATTGGTGTATGGTTGCTCTTGAAAGGGCCTTAGTAACTCATGCTACTAGTTGATTAGACAGATGCTGCCCATCCATGGGTCAATTCTTAAATAGTTGAAATGTTAAGGTTGATTCTTACTATCACGTCATTAAGTCTCATAAGATTTGGCACATTTTCTCTAATTGTATCTCAGTTTAGGCTTTTGAACTAAAATAAATTGTTTGGACTCTGTTGATTATTTTTATTTACTCTAATGTTTATGCATATAATTGTAGAATTTTCTTTTTAAACTTGAACCATGGCCATGCCAAGTTGCCAAGTTGATGCATTTTTTATGGGATGATTAAGAGATGATCTATGATTTACTTTCAGATTTCTCAACAACAGAGACCAATGCATGGATATGGATTGGTTTCAAGTTCCTTTGGTGGACGCTATCCTCAGGGTAGTTCTTACCAGAGCTCAAACTATGGTAGTGCTTCATATTCGTTTGGTAATGACCGGAACCGACTAAATGTTGACAAGACCAGAAGAAGAGAGAGGGACTGGGACTCAATTTCCGTCAATAATAATTCACATGATATATTCAATGACCGCAACAGAGGACCAAGGGCTTCACAGATGAAGGCAAAGAGTACTTCCGACCAGAGTTCTTCATCTAGTGTTAGGAAAATGGATCTATCTTCTTCTGGATTTAACCTTGATTCATTGAACCAGCTAGATTTTGTCACAGATTACAAGGATGCAAAATTCTTTATCATTAAGTCTTTCAGTGAGGACAACATTCACAAAAGTATTAAATACAATGTTTGGGCTAGCACGCCTCATGGAAACAAGAAACTTGATGCTGCTTATCATGAGGCAAAGAAGATAAAATGCATCTGCCCAGTCTTCCTATTCTTTTCGGTATGTTTCTTTGATCTGTCCTTATCTTCCTAACTGTTTGAGCAACTGGGCTGAGGAGGTCCTAGTTGAAAGTGGGTGGGTATATGATTGGTATCAGCATCACAAAGCATTAGGTAGAATGATTGGGTATTGATGCTGATAAGAGCCAGATGATAACTGAAGTTTTAATGTGGCAGTCTATCTTTGAGATTCAGTAATATAAACCAGGCAAATTCCCTTGTATGTCATTCGTAGGCCCTAATAACTGTTTGCCAAAGGCTTTTTTGGTTTCAATTGGTCATTTTTCTTTGTTCAGCATTTCTTTTCTTTAAAATACTATAGATGCTTACAAGAAATTTGTTGTCTGTGCTAAAGTTATTCTATATTTGTTGTGATACGATCTAAACTATATGTTCTTTAGTTTTGTCAGTCCTCTTAGATTTTGTTGGTTACAACTGACTACAGGTTAATGCTAGCGGACAGTTTTGTGGGGTAGCTGAAATGGTTGGACCTGTAGATTTTGAGAAGGATGCTGATTACTGGCAGCAAGATAGGTGGAGTGGGCAATTTCCAGTTCAGTGGCATATTGTTAAGGATGTTCCTAACATCCGGTTCCGTCACATTCTACTTGAAAATAATGATAATAAGCCCGTCACGCACAGCCGAGATTGTCAAGAGGTAGCATATCTCTCTCAATCTCTGTTATTTTCATTAAAAAAGATTCCATTTTTATTTAGAAACTAGAACAATTCTCCAGTTTAGATTTGGTTTTTGTTGCCACTGTGACCCTAGGGAAAGCCCTTTGTGTAAATGTTCATGGTTTTTGAGATAGCTTTATTTTAGGAGTTACCTTGCCCTCTCAAAACCTTCCAAGTTGGGTGGGTCATATTGGGTATATCTTGTTCAAATATGAAACAAGCCAAGTTTGAATTGGAGTTGAGAGGGCTTATTTGAACCCATTTTGAATCTAGATGAGAGCACTCTTAACTAATGGATCAACCATAAAAAATCACTTTCCAAACTATTTTTTGTTTATATCTCTATGGGTTTACATGTGGTCTAAAATCTCTGTTGTATGAAGTGATTGAAACGTTAATCTTGTGTAGTATACAGTTGACATGCAATGCATTCAATCTATTTCCTTTTACTTCTGTCTTTAACTTAAGTTTGGCTCTAATGCGGATTGAGAGTTTGCATCTGCCTTACATTTTATTTCCTGATGGTGAAACATTTTCAGGTGAATCTCAAACAAGGTATTGAGCTATTGAAAATTTTCAACGATTTTGATGCACGGACATCTATTATAGATGACTTTGAATTTTATGATGAGCGGGAAAAATCCTTGAAGGAAAGGAAAGTTAAACAAGAAGCTAGTTCGACTACAGATGCTTCTGATTCAGTTGGCATTGATCACGCCCTGCAGTTGAAAGGAAGTAACGGCAAAGAAGTAGCAAAAACCGAGCGTGACATTAGCTCTAAAACAGAAGCTGCTTCAGCAATCCTTGAACATGATTCCTCTATGGACCAAATATCTGATAGCTTATCTCAAGTATTGCAGTTGGAAGAGGGTGACAAAGAATTAGCACTGCCATCCGAAAGTAGTAATGATGGAGAAGACAGCGAGTCGGTTGACAGGAAGGCAACAGGTGTATGAACCTACTAGTGCTTAGGCATTTTAGGCATGCATACAGCGACAACATACTACTAGGTGTACCTTTGTGATTTTTAAGAGTAGTTCACTCATTGACAAAGCACGAGGTGGTAATTTCGTCATCTCAAGCAGTCAGGATGCCAGCTGACTCCGTTTTATGACCTTTTTTTCCCTTTCCTTGATGATCGGTTGTCCAGAACAATTAGGTGGTACTCGAGTGGGGCGTGCTTGGCAGGAAGGCTGTTTAGTTTTGTATCTGAAGCTCGGTTTTCCTTAATTGTAGGGTTAGAATTAGATTGTTGGTTTTGGCGATGCGGAGGTAGTTTGTTGAATGCAATGCAGGTTGTGGGTATTTGTATAACCCCCCGCCCCGCACCACCCCGACCCCACAAAAACCCATTTGGGTTGGACTTGAGAGGTTGATCAATCAATAAACGAATGAATGGAGGAATGAATGAATTCAGAAAACGCATTTACTTTTGCAGAAGATTTTCTTTTCTTTTTTCATTCTATTCCGGGTCGTGATTCGTGAATGAATGAAATCACAAACTAAAGACGTTTGATAATTTTTGTGCATATGATATGATGGATACGTTTGATTTGGCCTGGTATGCAATGCATGACGGCTTGGTTTGGTTCGGTTCATGGAATGGATTCTTTGGGAATCAATTTAGCTTCCATCCGTTCATTTCAGGAACCATTTATGTTAGCAGACCAAGACGAAATGAGTCATTGAGGTGTACACTACTACTCAATTAAGAGAAAAGTAGAAAAAACATAATCAAACTGCATTCTGCACACCGAGCATAACACCAACCATAAAGGTTCAAGGATCCAGTTCCAGTACTCGGAATTTGTGCCCGCCACGGGCAAACAAGCTTCTCTAGCCAGCTGCTGCACATGATGATCAACATTCTCATGCTCTAACTGATTCATAAATCTCAATGTACTTGCCAGCTGCGTTGTTCCAGCCATTATCAATTTCCATAACCTTCTTAACAATGCCATTCCATTCATCTCCTCCTTCTGCACCACCAATTATAATTCAATAACAGCCAGACGAGAATAATTACAAACTAGTACATAAATCGGAACCCAACATTTTCTTCTCATCTTACGCCGCATTTCATAAATCGGATTCTACAACATACTTGTTCTCTTGCAATGCCATGATGAGTGCACTGTGCACAACATAGGTTGGGCAAAAAACATGTGAAAGTAGAGAAAAGTAGAATTTTCCAATTTGTATCTTGTTGGTCCTCAACTACAGTAAAAACTAAGCAAGATCTAATACAAGCAGCACTTACTGTTTAGTAGCATGCAAATCACACGAGTGAGTAACAAGAAAACTAAGCAGGTTCTATATGAGGAGAACTTACTGTTTCTGTAGCAAGCAAATGCACGACCTAGAGCCCCATTCAGGGATCCTTCGTCAATTCCTTCAAAAACAAACCTAACAAAAAAAGAGTTGCAGCATTGATTGCAACACTTCTACCAATAATACTTGGAGCAAAATAATTTTTCACCCTAGTAATATCTACTAGAACCTCCAAGTATGCACTTTTTAACTATTGAAAAATAAGTTACCCATTGGCCATGTCATGATTTGGTTCATCATCCATGTCAAAGACTGTGTCTGCAAGACCGCCGGTCTTTCTAACTACTGGGACCTGAAACAATCGGTTGAACCCAAGTGAGACTTTAAATAACTTTGTTTCTATACTTTTATTGTGTATTTACATTTTACTGCAATGTGAATAAAATCATCTTCCGACAAACACGACACTAGCCAAATAACCAAACATAGAAAAAATGGTGTAGCAAGAAAGTATATGCACACAGTAATGAATGCTGATCATGTCATATTTTTTATGCACAATTCTGATCAAGCTCTGGAGTACTTCAGTAAAGTTGTTAGTATAGCCATTACTATAGACAACATAAAATGGCAGGATTTTAAAGTCCAGCAGAAATACATACTGCCCCATAACGCATTCCAATCATTTGGGCAAGTCCACATGGCTCGTACATGGAAGGAACTAAAATAAAGTCTGCAGCAGCATACAGCAAGTGGGATAGCTCCTCACTGCATAGCAAAGTAAATCAGAAACAACAAAATTTAGCAAGCAGAAACATCAGAATGCTGGGAGGAGCTATCACAGTTGCTGTATGCTGGGAGGAACTAGAATAAAGTCAACAGCAGCATACAGCAGGAAAGCAAAACTTATATCATGGTGTTTCAAGATTAATTACCTATACATCAATAATATCCGAATGCTGGGACCTTGGTTATGCTACAAAAATGATATCAAATATGGACATCTGTTAGCTTGCTTTGACTCAGAAGGTAGGGGAAGAAACAAAGAAAAGAAGATTGTAAAGCAGGAATTGGCTCATTAAAGTTAGTGTCCTATTTTTTTAGGATTGTATTAGGAAATAATTAAGCTTCCTTGTACAATTAGACTGGAAACCCTAGATGATAATTGGAAATGGAAAGAAAGTGTATTTTCCTATTTCATATAGCATAGGAAAGAAAGTGTACTTTCCTATTCCATATAAAATAGGAAATAAAGCCTATGACAAAAGCCTCCGACATCAAAGGATTTAAATAAAACAAGTTGAACATTGTTATGATTTAAATTAAGGTACAAGAGATTATTATAACAGAAAAGGGATGTATGGAGCATTCACATAAGGTTCTTAACACATAGATACCAAGAAAATGAAAAAAAAAAAAAAAAAAAAAAAAAAAAAAAAAAAGAGAAATTAAAAAGAAAGAAGCCTCAAATCCCTTACCAATTTTGCAAGACCTTCAAATTCACTTTCAACCCGAGAATCAGGAGCTTTTCCCAGTATAACCATTTGTCCACCCTAATGAGTCCAGTATTTGGAGGAATGAGAAACTCATGGAAAGCACATTCTGAACTTTTATCAAAGACTATAGTGAGTCAGGAAACAAGAATAGAATCTAAAGAAAAAAACTTTGGAGAAAAGACAAATAGTTGCCAATATTTTCACAACTAAATAAATAATTGCTTCGACAATGGACATCTTTTCAGAAACCAACCTTGTACCAGTTTACATAACACTGGTAGTTTTCACAAGGTCTCACTCTCATATACATGTCAAAATGTCTGACAAGAAAAAATCTTCTTGGTGTGTGTCTATATATATACAGAGCCTTTCTATAAGAAGGATGTCCAATACGAAAAAGTGCACTCATCATTCCTAGGCACCAACACATTCCTGCTCAGCTATCCACATAGTCCAGGCAAAACTTAGAACACAAAAAGATGTAACGTAGTAACAAACTTACAAGTTCCTCAACTTGCTTAATTGCATGAGTAATCAAATGAAGACCCTTTTGTGCAACTAAACGAGTGATACATACAACCAAGGGAACCTTGAGTGCAGTATCTGGCACATGGTCACCTGAGGCCAAACCAAGTCCCCTTTGGACATAGTATTTGCATAACTTCTTGCCCTCAGGGTTTTGAGCTGCAAGAAACAGTACAAGTGATAATGAAAATAAAAACTACTGTGGAATGGGTTCAATTCTTAGTAACAGCGTTTCCAACTTGCAAATCTAATACAAGCATACTCATAAGTCCTTACCATGAAACTTTGAAGGCAAGAAAACATCAGTAGAAGGGTCCCACATCGCAGTGTCTATTCCATTTACTATACCAAAGTACCTATAAATTTACATATTTAAATATCAACAAATGCAAAGACAAGAAGAGATTTTCACTTTCTTTAAAGTCAAGAAGAGGTTTTAACTCATAATCAGAGAGCAGAGTAAACATCAAGCTGAATATATATAGGCACACAATATGCAGCAAGTAACAAGCATGAGAGTTTCCTGCGTGGGAAACCATACTTCAAACAAATTCATGCAAAAAGCATTATTTGTCCGCAATGGATTTTAAAATAACTGAGGTAGGTGTTACAAAGACCACCAGGGAGTGATGTTATTCACAAATCAAGATTTGGAAAATCCCACACATGATTGAGGTCTGGAAGATCCCAACACATAATTACGTAAAACAGAATTACGCTTACCATGTGTAGAAACTTAGTATTAATTGTGGAAATCACATGCTATATGACCTCATTGATATTAGATCTATTTGCTACATAAAAAGAACAACAACATGATGAAAGGATCGCGAATAGTACAAACTATAATCCCCAAGTTCTATTTGGATCATTTGATTGTTATGTATAATTCAAATACTCAACAAGGAGTGAGCTATTTCTAAGAAGCCACTCTGCCTATCTCTAAATGTTCTTGAAAGTCAATATACATTTGATCATGATTAAAACATGAGAGTGTAATGTTATTGCAGTTTTTAAAGGAGACAAAATGCATGAAAAAATATAACTAAAGGCAACTGGTAATTGCCACTTGCAGAGCTTCTATTGCAACAGCAGTTCGATAATGGTTGATACAGTTCCCTTATGTCTTATTCAGCCACAGAGCAACATATAAAAGTTTACATTTTTTATCCAACCTCAAAGTTTATGAAAAATGTAAAACAATTTATGTTCATTATCACAGTTAAGGAACTTACTTATCACGGTTTCTTATCAAAGTACTTGAAAGCCATCCAGAGCAGAGTGTTTCCTTGAGATATGTTGGAGAAACTGTACTGAAAGTGAAAGAAAGAATCACTTGTTCACACAACAGATACAAGGGGTGAGCTTGTGTGTGCTCATGCTCACACGGGCACAATGAGAAATATAAGATTACACTAAAGGAAGAGATGGTGTTGCCCTTCAAAATACACCTAGAAAGAAAAGAAAATCCACCACTAGAGTAATCAATATATTTTACATGTGGACTTAATATGAAATTTGATCAAGTCAAGGTCAATCACTTGGTATAGACCTTTTTCCTATTTTGATGAAGGCATCTGCATCTGCCAGCGAAAAAGGAGTAGATAGACATTGATGCTATACTCTATCCCACAGGACAAAGTCTGGTCTAATGTTGCACCACTAGTTAGAGATGTGTGAAGGGGCAACCTTGATTTGATAATAAAGATAAACTGTGAATGTGACTACCATGGGAAAACCAGGCACAACTATAAGATGTTCAAGGACTCATCCTCACCGAGTACCAATATTTTTGGTATCGGTACAGTATTCAAAGGAAGAGATGCACATTCTTGAATGGTTATGAGAGTAAAGCTTTCCATTAAATATAAAATAAGTAAAAGATAGTGAACAAGTAATTCACTTCCACTTCTGCACAAACTATACATGAAAATTGCAGAATCAAACTCTATCCTAGAGAGATCTGGAAACAGAAAACCAGAATTTCAAGAACCTACGAAGCAGCTGCTTTCCACTTTAATCAAATAACATAGAAAGATAGCTCTTCTAAACCCTGAAGCTACAGATGCCCACAAGAAGCCGAAAAACGAATTCTATCCCATAGATACTCCACCTCCTCACCAAGCACACTCTCACAAACCGTAATACTCCTTTCCCCGCATATAAGCAAGAAGTTTGTGAACATAGCACCTCTCCCCAGAACCACACCACTCCTTCTCTTTCCACCAACAGAGACAACTTTTTACCGCTTTGAAAAAAATGCAACCTTTTTGTTATATCATTTGGAGAACTGCAGTTAGATAGCTCAAGGAATTAAATTAAAAAGTAACAAAATGGTGAATTTCTTAGCTGGTGGTTGGCTATGGTTATTGTCTGCGATATGAGCAAATAAAGAAAGAAAATAGAGATATATTCAATTACAAAATCAACAAGCAAGACCGCTTACACTACTGCATTGCTGTAGACAATTCCACCTTTCAATAAGCTTAACCTCTCAGGATTATGGCCAACAGTTCGATCATCAATTGCCTAAACCATATTGATAGGCGTAAGAGACATGGTAGTTTCGTCTGTTAAAGCGTGTAACATTTAAAAATTCAACAAACTGATTTGATAAGGTTCCGATAAATACACATGTATACATGACATTCATGTATGTCATGTATGCACTTCTTTTTTTTTCCAAAAACAAATATCTTAAAGGGACCTAAGAACCAATCAAATTCATGTAAAGCTCACTTTTTCAAAGTTAGCATACAAAGATCCATCAAGACCGCACATGCTCAGTTGCTCTTGTCTGCCATATGAAGAAAAATAATGCTTATGACGAGGTTTAGAAAAATAAATTTGCATGATAATGAAACAGCTATTTTTGAAGTCATTTTGATCATAAAATGCACAAAAATTAAAAAAGACAAGCAAAACAAGTATTTCTCTGTTTGATAGATGGTTTATAAAATGTGAGTGAAAGTGTTTAATTACAAATAACTCATTTAAATCGCAGCCAAAATAGAAGACCTGACTCTTGCTCATCTCCAGATTCCGGTATTTTACGCAAAACTGAGGCTGAGAGTTCACGCCTACTAGGATTTTATCAGTACAAGGACATGAACAAAGTGGATGTAAAACTTTGGAATAAAAGGTTTAACTCTAAATAATTGAGACATTCAGTCAGGTAAAAAGCAATCAAAGGATATCCAACAAAGAAAGATTGGTCAAATGGTGATGGAAAAAGTAGCATGCAAAAGGAGCAATGTAGAAGCATTTACTTACCTTTTCTCCATAAGAAATATTTTTTCTTACCTACATTCACCATAGTGCTCCATGTTATGGATTGTCAATACTACTCTCGGTTTCTACAAATTAGAGAATTACACAAGATCATATTGATATTATTCACAAAAATCAACTATTTTACTACATTGTTATCCATCAGGCATATGAAGCTGAGGCAGTGGCAATAACAGAAGTAGATACCTTAAGTGAGAGATAATGATACATATCCCAATAAAGTAACGGCAAAGCACCTGTCTGCCATTCATGGACATGAATAATATCAGGTTGTGTTCCAGTCGCCTGCAATGACGTATCGTATACTCTTGTCAGATACTGGAAGAACAAATTGTGAAGATAATATTGGAAGAACAGAGTTACCGAGTTTTCAAGTAATAACCTGCATCCATTCAAGGCAAGCACGACTAAAGAAGAGATATGCTTCGAGCTCATTGTAGGAACCCCCATAGACATGATGGCCCTTAAAGAAGTGATGTGATGGGTCAATAAGTATAACTGGGATTCCTGAAACTATCCCAGTGTATGCATTAGTGGGAATCCAGTTTCCATGGTGAAAAGAGTTATATGTTGCGACTAACGTGAGGTCATTGATCTGGTGCTTCTGGATACACTCGTAGAAAGGAAGCATTACATGTACAGTGTGGCCGCGCAATAAAGAAGCTCGAGCAAGTCCAGTGACAACATCAGCAAGACCACCAACTTTGGCAATGGGTGCCATTTCAGCGGTGACATGAACTAGGTGCATGAGTTTGGAATCTTTAATTACTTGGGAGGGAGGTTCCAAGTTGACATCCCAAGAAGGGAAGGGCTTCTTCCAAAAGGGGATATCATCATCAGGAGAAGGCCAAGCGAATTCCTATAAAAAGCCCAATATGATGCATGAATCATTAATAATGGATGAGGTCTTGTCCTAGGCAATTACGCTAACCATAAACCCTAAACCCTAATAGATAATGGATAGATGGAGAAATGAGCAGAACCCGTACCTGTGGAATGCGGAATTGACAAGAGCAAGACTGCTTCTGCTTCTGCTTCTGCCTCTGCCTCCGCCACCTCCATCTGGTGCTCGTCAGAGGAGGATGACATACGCTGCTTCTTCTTGTTTCAAAACAAGAAGACCAGTCTCCCGCAATCGCAATTGCTGTCGTCTCCATTTTTGGTTTCAGAGACCCAATCGAGATCATATGCACTCACTCGCTCGACTGTGACAAGTTCCTAATTTCCTATTTTCATTTTTAACTCTCTCTCTCCCCAGTCCCCACCTCTTCCCCCACTATTCTATTCATAACACGTGTCCTTCTTTCATTAATACATCTGTTAAAAAATTATTAATATAAATTATAAATTACATATATCAATCATATCAATTATGTCACTCACCTCAATTGTAACCAAGGCCAACCCTAAGGGTCTGCGAGCGACCGTTATGGGCCCTGTTTTTCTGGGCTCCGGATTCTAAAATCTCTTTTAATATTCTATATATGAACAAGGTGGGAAATAATTTGTTGATGTTTTCCTAGCATGGTTGTCAAGCCCTAGTAGTGCACAGGTTCGACTCCCTACTTTCTCATATTTGTTATTTTTGAATTTTTTTTTCTTCAGCCATGTTTCTTTCATACAGGACATGTGCGGGGTAACTATTTTGGGATTTTTGAGCTAAACTATTTTTTTCTATTTTTAAATATTTGTAGTTTAATTTCTTTCATTATAAAATATAATTTTTGCTAATAAATTTGTGGTTAGGAATATCAAAATAAATTAAAATTCTTAAATCTGATATAATCTTTAAAAGCCCCCCTTTCTTATACGATATCATTTAATAGAATACATTTCATAATTAGAATCGTTTATTGTTTTGGTCACCGTCTAAAAGTCATCGATTTTTTATTACATTTGAAGACTATTTAGTCATCCATATCAAAAAGGAAATTATAGTACAACTACACCTACCGTTAGATTAAGTTGGTTTAATTGTTTAAAATTTAACTAATCTAATGACAATCAACAGGAGAGGGGGAATGAGAATCATCCTCACAAGATACTACTAATATCATAACCAGTGTTTCGTTTAACACATAATTTTTTTTTCTTGAGATGAGCTCTAGATGATGAGAAGAGCATGAATGGTTTTGACTATAGTATTTGTACGGTGATATGATAGTTACATAGTCATCACACCATGCTTTTTGTATTTAAAAAGTAAGGAGATTCAAACCAGAAACATAGAGAACGCAAATAGGTACATGACCACCACACTATGCTTCATTTTCTTTATTTTATTATTATTTTTTTGCATTATATCAATTTATACACAATAAAAAATATAAAATATAAAAGAAAATGTAGCAACCAAAAATTTAGACCATGCAAGGTCCTCTGTTTGAGTCTCGCACAGGGCCTCTAAAATCTCAAGACCAGCCCTGATTGTAACACGTGATATGATGTAGTTCCACTAGGTTTGTTTAATAAAGGAGTACAACTTACAGGACACCTATATGGGGCCATGTGGCATCCCATGCTAATAAATTAAGGACATGGGGGCAAAAACTCGTACACATATCTTTATTTTATTAGCACAAAACTACACATATCTATTTGTTAATAAAAAAAAAACAAAAAAACATAAACGGTTGTCAAATCAAGGGGTGGTGAGTTAAAATGTGGAAACATGTAAAATGTATAGCAGCATCCCAGTAACAGAAATTACATCCATAACAATAGAATAGCCAGTCTTATTCTTGTGGTTATAGCCAAACAAACAAGTAACTCACAAGTGGCCCTTACCACAATGGTGGAAATGTGTTGAGTTTTTGCATGGCGGCGTGGATTCAAGCCCCATCGGTGACTAATCTAACATCTAATCTAACAAAATTTATCGTTTGAAAAAACAAAAAAAAAAAAAAAAAGAAAAAAAAGTAACCCTCCTTAACTCTTGTATAACAAACATATTGATTCATTCAACCCCTCTACGATCAGTATTCCATTATATTATACATACACGAGTTCGAATCAACAAGTAGCCCATATAAACAAAACAGTTCGCTGACATTCGATCAAATACTGCCTCGATTTCTTTTAGTTACAACATCAAACCCACATAAAGGGAGAAAAGGTAAGGGAAAACAAACACAAGTGAATACATTCGTTGATTCTCCAGGGAACTCCCCCACTGCTCAAACTGTTCATGTATTTTAACACTCAAGAAACTATAGACTGAAACTTCTGATAGTGGAGCAGCCCCGTGATTTCTCAAAACCGGACATCCATGTAATAAGGCTGCGTAGAACAACAGACAAAGGACGTAACCTTTTTGTACAATCTGTTGTTGGTGTAAGTCAAAGTTTTAGGTGGATTAGGAATTTATTTATCTTTCCTAGTTTGGTTGTAGCTCTTTTTAATATTCCTTGTATCACAAGGAGAATAATTGTGTATATATATTTCCTCTATCGGGAAAAGAATAACAATAAAACCCTACATTGTAGTTTTATCTTGGCATCAAAGCAGGTTTCGGCCTGTCTCTTTCCCCCAATCTTTTTTTTCCCTAGCTATCAACTATGGAGCAAAAAATAATTTCAAAAATTCTGGAGGCGACACGTGGACTTTCAGCCAAGAAAGACAAGATTGCCTTTATTAAATGAGCATGACATATTTAAATTCCCTACGCGTAGCTCAACATCCCTGGACATGCAGGCACTGGACTACAACTGTTCAGAGCTATTCTACACATGGAAAAAGTCAAAGATATTTTGTGACATCCCGTCCCGGAAATATCGAAACGTACATGTGATTTGACCGTTTTACCCCTAGTTTGTCTTGTTATGTTTTTGGTTGTTTTGTGTGGTGTGGACATGTGTTGGGCCACACACACACCCACACTGACTTACTCTCCCTCTCCCTCTGACATTTCTCTCTCTCTCCCCCCGAGCTCCCTTCCTTCTTTCTTCTTCTTCCTCCGAGTGTACGGACAAACCCAAAACCCTCCAAATCTGTGCAGATCGAGGGAACCAAGTGCACCATCAAGTTCCTGAGGCTGAGAGGAGTCCAGTGGTGCCATTTTCAGGTAAGAACCTCGACGTTTTCACGTCGATTTCACAAGGTCCGTTTTGGTCACTGTTCATGCAAGAGTAATTTAATGAGTTTTTGGACATTTGAAGCTTATAGTTGTGTTTGTGAGGTTCCCAGAAGCTTAGGAGTGCTTCGTTGGACAAATTTGGACGTCGGGAAAGCTTGGTTCGAAGTTGGCCGAGTTTTGGAGTTTTGGACAGGTATAATCTTGTAGTTTTAGGCCTTAAAACTTGTAGGATCGTGTTCTACTAGCTTTAAGGTTGATTTTGGTGCAAGAAACGTGAAAAAAGGTGGAAAAACGAGCGAGATATGGCGAGTTGCAGGTTTTCCGGCGCCGGCGCCGGCGAGGGGGACTGGCTGGGGAAGAAAGGGGAATATTCCGTTGAGTTTAACAGAATATTCCTAACGGACGTTGACGGCGTCAGTTTAGGGTTAATGGAATATTCCGTCAGTTCAACGGAATATTCCGTCAGTTCAACGGAATATTCCTGACGGCGTCACTTGATGCCGTCAGTGTGCCTGGCACGTGGCCGCGCGTGGGGGCGCGTGGGTCCGTGCCTGTCTTGGCGCGTGAGGGCGCGTGGGAAGTCCAAAAATTATTTTAAAGATATGGGTGTGATCGTGGGGTTGTGTAGATCACGTTGGTATTTTCATTTGTCCATTTTGAGCAATGTATGAGAAGTTATTTTGAACGGACGGTTATGTGCTTTAAAGTTAACGTTTTTATAGTTAATTCGCATATAGGTGACACGTATCCCGAGGACGAGCGTGCACATTCGAGGCAGGGGGGCAACGACCCTTCCACATACCAGTGAGTGGGCTTTTGTTTTCCGTATATACCTATATACATATTATTTCCCAGAATTTAGTATGAATGCTTCGTTATATGCCATTCCTTTTATGTAATTAGTGGTTATGCATGATTAGTAGCATATACGTTTAATTATATATTCGTTTATGCATATGTCATATATATATATATGTTGGTGCTGTGGAGGCATAGGTAAGTGCCAGGTAAGCATTATTTAACGATTGCATTAAATAATGGTTAAAGATGCTTAGAGAGCTCATAACCTGCACCTCCGGTGTTAGTGCTCCCGCCCAGAGTAGGGCACAGTCCTTCACGTGTTGTTCACCTCCCGCACCACACGCTCAGCTTGAATCTAAGTTAGGTACACAGTCCTGTCGTACAGACCACTATCGGTGGTTCTGACTCGTAGGTGACCCGCGATTATTCACACAGCCTTCACGTGATCATAGCACTAGAGCGTTCATATGTATTACACCCAGGCCTGTCGTACAGACCACTTTAGGTGGTTCCGACTCATGGGCAGGTTCAGTTGTTTAGTGATTAAGTTTGAGATTTGAGCTCTGATGCGAGATTTATACGCACACAAATTAAACCCTCTTTTTGACAATTGTAATATAGATATAAGTAGGGATCGTTCTTAACCGGGGATTAGGAGGGATTGCAAATCACTTGGAAACTGACTCAAAAACGTAAAATAAAGTTTAAAACACTAAACTAAACTCAAAGAATGCGAAACTAAACGCTTAAAACACTAAAACAAACCAAAAGACTCAAACATCACCCAAAACACTCAAAACTGCCTTAAAATCACTTTCTGGGCAGTTTTGAGCACTTTGGTGAATTTGGACGAATTTGTGTAACAAATTGAATCAAAACACTTATAAACACAAACTAAGACACTTTCTAACTAATTTGGACAATACAAAGACTCAAAGGACTCAAAACAAGTTCAAAAGACTCAAAACTGCCTAAAAACACTAACTAGGCAGTTTCTGACCTTAAACACAAATTTGGACGAATTTAAGATTATAGGTTGATTCAAAACACTTTAAAACACAAATTAAACAGATTCTAAACACTATAGAACAAGAAAGTAAAGGGGGGTTTTGTTTTGACGAAAATTGAAATAACAAAACAAAGTAACAAACTAGGCAGATTGTAAAACGAATTCCTTGAAAACAAGATGATGGATGGATTAGCTAAGGGGTTCATCTCCACACATGTTACACTTGCATAATAAAAAAGATTTCCAATTGCATTTCAATAAACCATGAATTCTCAACGCCCCGGGTTAATTGAGTCCGCTTAAATTAACCGTCAAGTTTTCCTTAAGTTAATGAATTG